GGGCGACTGAAGGCATGATCGAAGAGGAGGGTCTTGAGATCGGCCTTGAAGGAGGCAAGGGAGGAAGTGAGGCGAAGGGACTGTGGGATGGAGTTCCAGAGCATGGGGGCAGAGAGGCTGAAAGCCTGCAATCGAGTGTAGGGCGGGTCGGGCGGGAGACATGGAGCAGGCCAGAGCCCGCTGAACGGAGGGAGCGGGCAGGTTGGTAGGGAGTCAGCAGGTCAGAGAGGTAGGAGGGGGCAAGGCCATAGATGGCCTTGAAAGTGAGTACAAGGATCTTGAATTCGATTCTCTGAGGGATAGGGAGCCAGTGGAGTCAGGCGAGGGTGGGAGTGATGGGGTCACGGTGCATGAGAGTACACGAGCTGCAGTTTTGGATGATCTGCAGCTTGTGAAGGGAAAAGGTTGGGAGGGCCGATGAGGAGGGAGTTTCCATAATCGAGCCTTGATGTGACGAATGCGTGGGTGAGGGTCTCGGCAGCCTGAGGGGTGAGGCAGTGGCGGAGTCTGGCAATGTTGCGGAGGTGGTGGTAGGCAGTGCCGGTCATGGCGCGGATGTCGGGGAAAAAGGACAGTTCAGGTCACACAAGACACCCAGGTTCCCGATTGACTTAGTGAGATTGAGTGTGAAGCTGTGGATGCTGATGCTACCAGCACCCGAGGTGCGGAGACGCTGGCGCGAGCCAATTAAGAGGGTCTCAGTCTTGCTGACGTTCAGTTGGAGAAAGTTGTCCCTCGTTCAGGACTTGATGTCGGACAGGCAGTCGGTCAGGACGCCTGTAGTCCTGGAGTCCAGGGTGGAGGCAGAGAGATAGAGTTGGGTGTCATCCGCACACATGTGGAAATTTACGCCATGTCTGCGGACGATGTTACCAAGGGGGAGCATGTCGAGGGTGAAAAGGAGGGGACCGAGGACGGAGCCCTGAGGAACGCCGCACGAGACAATGCGGGGGCTGAAGCTGAAGCCGTTTGCAGAGACGAAGTGGAGGTGGTGTGAAAGGTAGGACCTGAACCAGTCAAGGACAAAACCTTGAAGGTTGAGGTGGGAGGAGAGGCGGTGGAGGAGGATTGAATGGTCCACAGTATCAAAGGCGGTGGAGAGGTCGAGGAGGACGAGGAGGCAGAGAGAGCCCTGGTCACACATGGTCAGAATGTCATTCGTGACCTTGACCAGAGCAGTTCCCGTGCTGTGGGCAGCACGGAAATCCGATTGGAGGGACTCATGGAGGGAGTGGGAGGAGACGAAAGATCGAAGCTGGGAGGCGATGGCTCTCTCAAGGACCTTAGACAGAAAAGGGAGGTTGGAGATAATAATTCGATAATTTAGTGAAAACAAAGATCACGTGGTCTTTACTCCTCTACAGCTTCGAGGATAAAGAAAGCAAGAATTAATGACTTAATTTATTTAATTACAAGACAAATCTCTTTAGTGGAAAACTATAACTTACAGCAAAATTAAATGACACTTGAATAAGAAATTCATACCTTGATAAGAAAGACAAAAATAACCAATTAATGTAGTAGAAACTCCCTGTGTTCTCACCAATGATTTTATCTAATCAGGGGTTGCACTGTACAAGTATTTTATAAATTGAATCATTTTTAAAATGTAAGCTCTAAGGGAACATAATACAGGCTTCCAGTATAATTTCGACAAAATGATTAGCGAGGAAATTATGTCAGCATAGCTCTGTTGCTAGAATGCTTGTCTTGGGGTTCAGAAGGTGGTGAGTTTGAATCCTGTGGCAGAATTTTAGGGTAACATGGTACAATGTGGCACAGAACATTCCCTACTTTGAAAAGGAGCAGGGTATTCTCATTATATGCCCACCAATATTTTCCCTCATGTAAATCCAATATTGCTTGTCCAATTTGAACCACACTATCAATGGACATTGATTGACATAGGAGTCCAGAGTAGGAGCAGAGTAGGAAGTAGCCTGGCTCCTCGAGGGACGTCTTCTTTTCTATTCAACACCATGTAGCCCTATTTTTACAGCTATTTTTTTCGGTGCGCTCTAGAGGTGATAAACTAATATAATCAGCTCTTGCAATTCTAAGTCTCTACCCCCCACCCCCTCCTCCACCTCCCGATTTCAGCCTAAACAATTAAACTGGGACCTTTAATTTTATTCAGTGAATTATTCAGTGTTATCAAGTACTTGCAGTTAAAAACACAAAGGCCAATTACTGAAATTGCAAATTTAAGAAATATGTCATTCCTAATTGCATTAATAAAAGATCAATATTTAACATTTTAAAACAGGGTATCACCAATTTTCTTAAGATGATTTAGAAAAGTAAGAACAACCTAATGAAAAAATCAACCCCCAGAAGACGCTCGGAGGTGGGCTGAGTAAGGTCAAAGGTTGGATTCTGAGAGGAAAGAAAGAGACAGCTCAGCCCGTGTCAGAAAATGGCATCCACTAAAACCGTGATTTTTCCGTTCATAGTCCAATCAGCATTTCATACTGGGTTAAACTCTTAGGCTAGAGTCAGCCAATGGATTTTACTAATGAACCAGCTATTTCATTGTTGAATATCAAAAAACATAAAAGATCTGAAATACGCACGTACACCACATACATACACACAACAGCTACAACAGGGGACTAAGCAATTCTTATGGCCTTCAGCTGTTCGACGTGTTTTTTTTTACTTCACCTGACTAGGGTTTCAGAAGGTGTACAATATGATCATTTCCCATGCGGCACAGCTGAAGGCAGCACTCTGCGGTTTCATAAATAATTGATGAACAGTCCGAGCAAGGCTAATATTTCAGCTGCCAGAATCAGAGTCACTCTATCCAAGCAACTGAAAGAGTCTAACTTCAGTTTCACAAGGTTATGCCTCAGGATCTGATGAGGAACTGTCAATCATATAAGATCAAGTAATAGGTTTGAAAAATGCTAAGGTATTTAAACATGTACCAAAGGTCTTCATCGGGCTGCTTTCTGGATTCACTTAGCATCTTAACACCTGGCATAACAATTTATGAAAGTATTCAAATGAAAAATGGACCCATTAAATATATTAACCCATTACTGTGCTTATTTATATGTCCTAAGAATAAACAATGAAAGATATTTATTTTTAAAAAGAAATTCAGCCAGAGTTTCAAATAGCTTTTCTCATAGTTTAAATTTTTTTTAAAAAGGTACATTTTCTGGATCGGTTTAGAGTTTTTGTTGGTGATGGGCAGCATAAGTTCCTTTCCCTTTTCTTCCAATTCCAAGCACTACCATACGGTTTGATCGGTTTATGGATGTTTTTATATCTTAATTCCAATTCCGTGATGATTCATTACAAAGTCAACATCTTGTCATTCTTGTTCCTCAGCCTAATTACATTGATACATTACTTGCACATTCATTTTGATTGATTCATATATTAAAGTTACACCTGTGGCAAGATAGTCGATGGAAATCCCCAGAGAGGCTGTCATAATCTTAGTAAGGGTTCCCCGTAGTTTCCTTTCGCTTCTCAAAGCAAACTTCATATCAAACTCTTTGAACAATAAAAAAATGTTCTGCATGTTTAAAATTCACTAGTTATAGTATTAGCAAGGGCTAGAAGACGTTATTTATAATAATGTTCTCTGAGGTTTGCATAAATCCTCCAGCAAAATATACGCTGGCAAACAGCAAGAAATTAAAAAATATTTTGAAAAATGGTTCGAAAACATGAAAAATAGTGACAGCGGTTCTAAATAATGTTGCTTTCATTCTAAAAATGTCATATCTGGAATATAGAAAATTCAACAATTAAGAGTAACTCGAGGCTTAGAGTAAATTGCGATTGTGAGACTTGCTGCTGAAAATCTGTTTTTCACTAAACTATAGCTTGCAGCAGGCATTTGAATAATATTTCTGCCTTTTGATATTGAGCATGAAACTGCAATATAATATGCACTCATATCTTTTTGGTGTTCATCAAATTACCTTTGTTTTGAAGCCCTTTGCATTGTGTAAATTGGATATTTTAATGTTCACAATATCTCAATTCATAAAAAATGCTGCTTTAAATTCTCTATCTTTCTCTCAACCTTTCATGCACTGGGCCGAGTATGTCTGAAATATATTTTGTGTAGAAACGGTTTATGATTCTTACCTACAGTCATTTTAACTGTATAGCCCCTTGCTTAAAGAAAGGAACATATACCCTTTACCAACCAATAAAAACATTTAGGCCAAACTTTTTCAATTTGTTCTGCATAATTCGCTTATTCTGGATATACTCCAGTTTGCAATTTTATCCATTTGGCTGCCTCTATCCTTGAATTTATGGGTTGACAGATAATCTCCCAATGAAGAACCGTTAGGCTGAGATAGGCACATTTGTATCTGAGATGAAACCCTAACCTTAAGAGCAAGATAACATTGTTCTCAAATGCCATTTCAATTAATTGTTGCTTCTATTGCCGCTTCTAGTTCTGGAGTATATTCTACACCTTGATCATTAAATTGCTATTCCAATTCCTTTTCTAGATTGGCTAGATGGACTATCCTTTTCATCCTTTTTCTTCATTGGGAGATTATCTATCAACCCATAAATTCAAGGATCGAGGCAGACAAATCAATCAATTAGAGGCTGAGATCATGATTCTATAAGCTGTTTATATGTTCTAATAATATGATGATTTATAACAGGCTTCATTAACATGGAGGTATGTCACATCAACCCACAGGAACTCTATTCCAAAACTATCTGTTTTCAGAGTGGAGTTTCCAATGGCATGATGGACTTCTAGTTCAGATTCCTTAAATGAACCACAAAATGATACCGTAAATATCAATAATAATTTTTTTTAAAGTAACATTCATGAGAAATCATAATTATCATCATGTTTAAATCAGAAAATTGTAATGGGCAACTTTTTTTATTAACTAATTCAAATATGCTGTAGTTATTTATCACAATGATATCCTGCAAGTTCTATGACATATCATTCTTCTTCATAAGAACTCGTTGAATAACCCAGAGAAACGTTAACACGATACAAATTTCTTTTATTTTGGAACTTTTTTTCTGAAACAAACAATTTTTACTTTATCTTCTTTTATTATAACTCGGTATTAGCCTCGTCCTCAGCAGCAACACTGGTCCTACAGTCCCAGACAATGTCTGGTTGAGGGCCAGGCTTGGGCATGCTTTAACATGTTGTACACAGAATGACAGATGCTGGACTGTGATTCTGCACACAGCAAGCTCTTGATTTTAATCACGCCACTGTGGACAACTGCCAAGTGATAGCCAGATACTAGCCCACAGGAACAATAAAATAAAGGGCCAATAGTTCTAGTAAATGATAATAATAATCCTTGCATTTGATAGAGTGACTTATCACATCTTCGAGACGTATCAAAGCACTTCACTGAATATATTGTAAAGTCAATTGACTGTATATTTTGTGGGCAAAAAATATTTTAATAGGGAATTTTTACTTATTTTATGGAAACTGGGATAGCCTTATCTCGGAATAGGATTCTCTTGTGAGAAAGCAAGAAAAGGAGAGGGAGCATTACCGAAGCCGAGCTTGTTGAAAATACTGTTTCACAGCAAGTCAGTTCTAAGTGGAGCCCAGGGGCAAATGGTGCAACTCGTTTAATGTCACCCTGGCCACTTATTGAGTACAACTCGCCTGTAGAGAGTTTGTAAGTGATACATTCTTGAATTTTTCATTTTTGATTGTCTAAATTGATGCATACTTGTAATCTCTAAACAGGAATAGGTATGATTAAAGGACTGTTGCTTCAAATTGCCGAAATGATGATTTCTTAAGAGTTAATCCAAACTATGTCAGATCAGCGGCAAAAGCAAGCTATAAACTGAGCAGTGTGCTGTAAAAATGTGTTCATCAACTACAGTCATTTCAGTTTGAAATAACTGTAGCATATTTCATTGATTAAAAGTAAATCATACATAATTCTACATTTTAGCCAGATTATGACCCTGGTTGGCCTATGCTTAACATATACTACACACCAGAATAGGTTTGATTTGAACTAAATGCAATTATACTTAACCAAATTAGATCTCTTGAAAACTACCAATTATGCACATTTTTTGATTCAAATCTCCAAACTTTTTACATTCTTCACACACGAATAAGTATTCTTGGAACTGTTTATAGTCTGAAGCAATTATTTATTTTTACTGAGTGTTCTTTGCTTCTCCGCATGTTCAACAATTTTCTCTTCCACATATAATCCTTTCCGTTTCCTCACTGCATTCATGTATTTGCGTGCCTGGTTAACTGTATCTGCCTTCTCTCCAAAATGCAAATATTCTTCTTCTGTTGTAGGGACCCAAAAGGGATCACTGGGAATTACCTATGTAGTAAAAAGATAGGAAAAGTTACAAAGGAGTCAATTAATTATTGCAAAAAAATCTGGGAGGGGGCAAGGAAATGGTGTAGCCAAGCATGAAAGATTAAGTATGCTCAAAGCCTTGCATTTATAATCAAAAGCATGAATAATAATTGTAGTCATTGAACTTCCTCGACCAACTCACACAGATATAAAGTAGTGCATCACCAGGCAAGCTACATACATGTTCAGTGATTTTAAAAAACAAGAAAACCTTTTTAAAAATGAGTATTTGGCTTCTAATCCAATAGCCATCGACTTTCTTAAAATGCTGAAAATGTAGAGTTGCAGGTTGGAAAATTATGAAAGGAAATGTATGCGTACTGAATAAGAATCCATATGTTCTTGGTGGAATGAAGGTTTCTTAATTGCTGAAATTGTACTTACGAAAATAATTTGAGCAATTTCATTCCAATAAAGCCCTGAGGTATCAGAACTGCACTAGAATTGATACCAATGTTCCAATGTGGGAGTGCAAAACAAACAGGGATCCAGCTCCTGATCACTATCTAATGGCCTTGCTGGAAAGGGTTTCTGTAAGGATATCAGGTGAGGAAAGGATAAGGAAAGGTGATCTCCAATCACCCCACCAACAATTACATGAAGCACACAGACACTTGGGCACGATACCAGAAAGCAGCAGGTGCTCATGGAAATCATGCCATAGCACAATTCAACAAAGTTGGGCGAGAAGTGGTGAAAATTGTTGGGTTAGAACCAAAATACAAACCAGTTGATAAAGTCAAGATGCCTTCTTTAAAGTCCAACATACTAATCACAAAAGTATCTCACTTCTACAAAAAGCACACAGCTGGCAAAACCGTGTGTCACACCGCTGGGTTTCCAAGTCATAAAGCACTACATGAAAGTGTGAAACCAGACTTTATGGCACTTGAATTTTGATAGTCCTCAGATTTTCCAAGAAGCTAAAGCATTCAAATAAATTGCATTTGCGAAATTAAGCACAAGCTGCTTTCTTCTTAAAATTCCTTTGTAAATATATCCCCTTCTCCAACCCCAGAAAGAGAATTGGAAGCACAGGAATGTTTGAGAATTGAATTCTGCAGAACATAAAAGTCACTTTCACAGGAGACAATTATGACAAGACTACTATTTATTATTATTACCTTTAGCCTTCAAGCCAATGGGTGGAATGCCACTTAGGATTTATGCTGTTAATAGCATGACCCGACAATCACACAGCAGTCAAAAAGCATAATTACTGTACCAGCGCAGGCAAGTACTAGCACCTGGTTGGGGATCTAAGCCAATGAGATGTCCAATTTAGAGAACACAGATGGCATTGATACCAACGGCAAGATTCACTGCTATACAAAACCTTTTCTGCACACAGAACTCAGGGCAGTGCTGGAGGGCCATATGTCACCATACATCTGTTTCTGTTTAGCAATAGCACAATATGCGAAAGCACGGCGAGACTGAAAAAAAATGCATATCCTGCCAGCTATGAGATTTTGTCTCCACAAAGAATCATTTTTATTAGATGAGTTTGCCATTTTAATAAACTTTTTGGTTCACATTATTTTATTGAAAGGACAGGGATAAGGATCACAATCTCCAAATAATATCAGGGTATTAAACACGTTTTGCTCCCTCTTAGCAACTGAGAATAAGCATAATTAAGGGTTATTTCTTTTGAACAGATATCGCTCAGCATTCTAGGGACCTCAAGTGATCTAAATCAACTTGTTAAATTTCATAGCAGTACAATTTTTGCTGTTGGGACTTCAGGAAGGCTAAAGTACAACAGTATTTATGTACCAATATTAAATTCTAGATCTGCAGCATCTTTCCTGTTAAAGATATCCTTCAACGATGGTTAAATTGTTACAGAAAATCAGCTTCAGCTACGTTGAATAACCTTTCTGTTAATATCACCATTTACATGTCATTATACTATGTCCAAAATGCAATATTTCTCCTTTTTATTAATTTTATTCAAAGCTCAGGGTATTTGATGATTGTACACTTATTGTGGTAAGTTTAAAAGACTATGAACATATACATAACTATTTAATATTGACCAAAAAAAGGAGAAGGTCTGTTCTGTGTAAATAGCTGACAAAAATAGAGAAATTAGTTCAAGATTCCCAAACTTAATCTCTTATTTACTGATATGCAATTCTGATAATTGTCAAAGTAACTTGAAGGGAGTTTGTTGGATTTTAAATTAAGAAATGATACTGTGGTTCCATCCATCACAAAACAATGTTGAGGTTAAGCATCGTTAAAGTGGAATTCAGCACTCAAAGAGTTACATTTTTTTTACCCATGATAATTAGGCATTCAGTGTATTTCCATTGGGAATCACTAAATTACTTTTATTTTCCATAGTCCAATCCAGAGCTACGAACATTTCTTTTAAGTTTACTGTAGTTACAGCTTTGTATTGTAGTTACAGCTTTGTGGCCCAAGGACATATTTAGTTTACAGGCACAAGAAGCAGATCTAACTATTATTTCTGAAGCTGGACTGAAGGTGAATACGGTTGCAACTGCTGTATAACATTCTGAGCTGTTCTGTATCAATTCCCATGCAGGCTTCAGTGGGACCTGCAGAAACAGTTTGTAGTGTTTAGCTAACAAGTGGTGCAACAATTCCTTAAATGATCTATAAATTGTTTTGTGTGATGGAATCTTCAATGTTGCTATATAAAATTCTGATTTGATGCTGTACAGCATCACTTCTTCCATCTCCTTGTTTGTTCACATTTGATGTTTGAAACTCACTCTGATTCAGATTGATGTTGCAATGGGAGACAGTGGTACTGCTGTTCAGAAGGACGAGCTCAAGTGGGCTTGAGGACTTAATTATCAAACTTTTGCTGTGAGCTTGTTAAACACTAAACCTACGGCAGCCTGAAGTCAGCAGCTTCATGCAAAATATTGCTGGTTCAATAAGCTTTTATTTATCTTTCCCACCTATAAAAGGGAGAACGACAATGAGCTTTGATAATGAAAGAAATACAAGTTATAAAAAAGGCAAAACGCCGAACATTGATCTCGGCTGCCTCTTTCACAATTGGTATAAGTCTGTTAATGCCTAAATGTAATAAAATACTTACATAATAATAATAATCCTTGCATTACATATAGCGCTTTTCACGTATTCTAGAGGTCTCAAAGCGCTTTACAGAATATACTGCAAAGTGAATTGTCTGTATTTGTGAGCGAAACGCGGCAGCCAATTGCGCACAGCAGTGTTCCACAAACAATCGTGGATCGAAGTGTCCAATTTATTATTGTTTTTTTTCTTGATAGATTATTATCAGGCATGTGGAGAAAGGAAACTTGCCCAAGGTTTCGCCATGCCAGGAATCAAACCCGGGTTTCGCGCTTGCGAGACGAGTGCTCTAACCAATGAGCTACAGGACTCCATACCAAGTTATATATCACTACCATTTTCTTAAAAAAAGTACTTCTGAAAATATAAATTCCCATCCCTATGGCTAATGCTCTCAGTATGGTGTGATTCCAAGATGCAATCCAGAAAGATCCCACGTTTAATCCCCGATTTGTGCTGCTAGTCAATCACAGCTGAGGCAGCAGTAGGAGACCCGCAACCAACTTTAACATCTCTAGACATGGCAGGGAGAGAAAAAAAAACTCAGCCAGGGTTCTCACTCTTGATTGCTAACCAGCACAAGTTGCCAGATGTGCAAGTATGTGGGTGCTGGGTGAGAACAGGGTCAGGCTTGGCTGTGATAGTTTCGATTGTTGAACAATCCTGAGAGTGACTGTACAAGCTGACAGATGAAAAATGGGCCCTTGCTATCAACAGTGGAACTGTAACCCACCAGGAGTTATCGCCCTCAGGAGAGGAGGAATAAATGGAAAATCAAATCAAAAGAAAATAGGGGAGGATTATTTTTTTTAAAAAAATCAGATGATTTTCAATAATTTCTAAAGTAGAAGACAAGAGTATTAAAAAGTTGATAGCTGCTTGGGGGTTATATAGTTAAACGAAATAACCTTTGAAATAAAGCAGATGTTCAGAGTGATCTGCTCTCTCCACTTAATGAGAACCACGTGTTAAGTTTTATAGCACATCAAAGTTGCAGTTTCCCTCTCTGCTGCCCTGTACAGCTCTGTGGATAGTTTTCAAGCCATTCTTTGAACATTGCACCATCCCCCAATATTACAAAGCATCTTTGGACATTTCTGATACCACTGATGAAAAATGTTCCATTAATAAAACATTGCTTTCTTATTACAACTTATGTATTTTAAGCAACAACATAACTTATGTTAATTTTAAATGGGTAATTGAATCTATGCAGAACAAAAAAAAACTGCATCCGGTGTTTACTGTACAGCAAACATAAAATAGAAAGCTTAAAAATTTTAATCAAAACCAATATATGTGCTATTTTATAGAATTGTTCAAAAATGTCTCCTCTCTGATGCTATTGTATGAAGAACGTAATTTTGTTTGATAAAATAATAACACCTTTACCTATGCATTCGTAAAAAATGTTTCAGTTTCTATACACAGTTGAACCGCAGCTAGCCAGATGAATAGGGGAGAGTTCCAGTCCGGCGAGTCGGAACTCCTAGCTGAACGTAATGACAAAATGTCAGTAAATTATGGTACCAACATTGTAACTGTTTGAATCCCGTGAGCAGAAGATAGCGAATAAGCTATTTTCTGCTAGTGGGATTCACAAATCTGACTCAAAGACAATATCCCTGGCCAGTGTGAAGGCCAGCAAAGGTGTGAGGTTGCTCAGTGAGCATTGGCGTACGTCGGGAGAGAGGGGCCTGCAGGAGACCTCAGGCCCGCTTCTGGGATTTTTAAAAAAAAAGGTTTCAGGCCTGGTCCGGTGAGGTTTAGCTCCAGATGCACAGTGTCCATTAAGCCACGGGTTTACGGTACTTACTATATGTAATTCTTCCACATTAATACATCATACTGAGCAGAGGTGACAAATCCACCTAGCCTTGACAGAGTAGGTGAACCCAGCTATGACAAATTGTAATTATCTGCAAGCAGTTAGTTTTAGGCAGTAGTATTAAAGATGTGTGGGTTACAGTCAACAGCTTCCCAGAAATATATGGGCATGCCACTTCCCTGAAACCTGGGCAATAACTGGAGTGCTTCTCTACATTGAGAAGAGTCCCTAGGGAGTTGTTTGCCAATTATTAAGAGGAGATGCTGTCATACTCCTTTCCCAATGTAAATCAACAAAGAAAACTGATTATTCAGGATACCTGCTCAATAATGTGTTTGCAGTTTGCGAAACTGAATATTTTGGCATCATTTTTATGTTTCTTGTTCCCCCTCATATGCTAATAGAGTTTATTTTAGCTGTGTCCCAAGCAACTGTCTACCCTTCATATTAATGTGTGGTGACATTTCAAACACGATGAGTCAAGTTAGTTTCTGAAGCTCCCACCAGTATTGCCCCTTGCAATCGTGATAAATGCTGTCTCAATGCTTTCTTTAATTGACCCTGAATCTTGGGTAGTCTTTTTGATAGTTTTTAGCACCCTGGCAGTTGTTTTCTCCTTGCAAGTCGTCTTGACATCACTAAATCATATTCTCATGTGACACAAGATTCCTTTAGCACAAAGAATTGCATTCAGCCTTTCAGGAACTTTATTCCATGATGTTTCCTCTTTTGAAGAGCTAGTGCAGACACAGGGCTGAATTGCCTTCTATTGCATTCTGTAAATTTCTATGGTTCTACGTTTTATAGGCTTTGGAATCAGACCAATTCAGGGTGGTTGCAAAGATGGAGATCTGTCTCTTCATCAAGTTGGTCTCCTGATCAGCAAACCTTGAATTCTCAAATATCTTTAGTAAAGATCACATTTATATAGAGTAGTAACAGTTTGGTAATGATCTGTAATCACTAGCAATATGGTATTTTGCTTTTTGGGGCCAGTTAATTCACAGAATATAGTCTCTTGCAGAGTTATTAATTGATGTGATTAAAGTCTGGCACAGTTGTTAGTTACCACAATAAAATAATGCAACCTAATAGGAAATGGTTTGGACTGCTGGATACCAAAATGAGATAAAGCAACCGGATATAAATTAGTTTAAAAAATGTGCCACTTTAGAATTTTGACTTCAATAAGACCAAGCATCTGGAACACATCCCAGTGCTGTTTGTATGTAGTCAATGCAAAACACATATGAGGTTTAATCTAATTCAGTCCTACATTATTATTCTGTTCTTACCACTAATTATTCTGAGTTCATGATTAGTTAATTTTAAAAATAAGCAAGTAATAAAATGTCAAAGACCTTGCACATTCTTCTATTGAAGATCACACAGTTTAAAATTTTATGCACTTTATAAATACTTAATTTGATCACATACAAACACATAATCGTAATCAAGGTAATATTTTGCAAAAGATTGCTAGAAAGTGACTGAAAAGAGAAAGTCGAACAAACTGGAATATCATTGGCTGGAGTCACTGTTCCATCTATTCACACAAACTCAGATAGGCTGAGCAAAGCCAGACACAACAGAAAGATATAGGAGAGATGGATGGTACCACTAGAGTTTCAGAGTCCATAAATATTCACTTTGAAAACAAAAGTGAAAATATTCCACAGTTTGGACAAGGGAGTAACTAATTTTCACTATAAATTTGAAGTCTCCCAATTAAAAGGCTTTTTATCAGTTGAAGTTCCAAGCCTGCAATTTTAAAAAAGGCCAAAGATAAATGATGTACCAAATGCAACTAAAGAAGAGCTGATTCACATCAAAGTGGTGCGAGAATGTAATTGGAACTGAGTTTGCTTCCTTTGACCAGCACCCAATTCAGTTAATATATTAGTTGTATATTAATCAGATCATTTTACAGAGAGAATGGAAGTCTGTGAAAATTCCACGGCTGTGGGACAATGCTGGGTGCAACAACTGGCTGCCACATTTCGCCTACAAAATGCATATTCACTCCACTTTACAGTGTATCCTGTGAACTGGTTTGAGACGTTACAATGATCTGAAAAGGCTCTATTACCAAATGCAAGGATTATTTATTGTTCCCCACCCCAACAGCCTAGAAAATAGAAGACTCAATGCTTGCCGCTATGTAATACACCGATTAATCAAAGGCCGCATTTTGTTTTCAAGCAGTTTTTTTGTACAATATGTAATCCAGCAATAGAATAACTAGTTTACTTTTATTCATTCAAAGTCTTGCTAATTATTACACATGGCACATTTGCTCATATGCTACCAACCCAAGGTAAACTTGTGTGTTTTATTAGAATTTAACAGTTAGGAATTATCTGAAAAGATGACAAACTTTTTTTTCGTAATGCATATGGACTCTGAAAACTATTCGGCAGTTCAAACGGAATTTCTGTTTCAATGAATTTCTTTTTAGTCAAGTACAAAACAACCCACTGAGCTACTCTTGTCCAACTCTGGATACGTTCAGAATACTGATATATATTTAATAATATACAAAGTATTTTGAATATTTTCTCTAGGTAGGCAGAATAAAGTGATTAATTTTACTGGATCTCCATTTATTTAACAATTTAAAATTTTTCATTGTGGCATAAGATCACAAAAGAGAACTGGATGATAAACTTTCTTTGCCCAGGAACAGAAGGGCTCCTAACACAAGACTCCTGAGGCGTTCCACCTAACATTTCTCTCCATTTCAATGTTGTTTCATAATGATTCTTTCTCTTCAGTCAATTACTGATCCACAGACAGGAACAGGGCACTGCCATCATAATCCATGTGGTTTGGTTCCACGTACTCAGACACCACATTTAAAACAAAGCATAAAACAGGCCGACTTCCAGGTAACCAAGTCACTGCTAACATTAACCTATATTATTCATTCATTAATTTGTGAAAGATTCTTGTGAGACATTTCATTAACAACTTATTCTGTATCATATGCCTTCCCTGCATCGATATGTAAAGCCGGACAAGATAATAACACCATCCACTCCAAGGTTCACCAGAAAATAGGACAAAATAATCTTCATGCAACTGATATCTGTTCAATTCACATAAAATCATTTATACATCACAATACACAGTACTTTTTGAAGATCAAAGCCTTGATGTGAAGATAGGATTATAAGTACAAATAGAATTGTTTTAACTGAGTGATGAGGCTAACCTGAGAACTGAGCTGTAAGAGTTATTGGAAGTGTGGGAGCTCAATAATTATCAAAACAAGAATGAGTTTTGTCATTTTAACTCTTGACCAATTTAGCTCTGCTAATTTTCTTAACTGGTTACTTAAATTATATCATCAAATTAGGAAATACTTGCTTTCTAAGATCAAGAAGTTTATCAAAGCCCTGTTTAAACAAATTGAACTCAGAAAAAGAACTTTATATTAAGAGCACATTTAAAGGAAACAGAATCTCTCACACTATGTATCAACTCTACAGGATATACAATTCCCATAACCCTACCAGCTCTGTGGTACATATAATCACCCACACATATGGAAGGATTTGTTTTTTTACCTCCCAGTGACTGAACACCAGCTGTGGGCTGGCTAGACCACTTGTCCGCTTCCTGATCTCATCAGCAAAGCCGAAGCTCTCTGCTACTGGCAGAACTGCATTGATAATGAACATTTCTGTCCCCTCCTTCATCTCTTCCTGTAATACTCGGCCAACACGCTTCGAAAGCACCCCATAGACCCGACCTGTGAGGGCACAAAGTATATTGTACATAGCAATGAATGTTTCGATTGAGTTATATAGCATAAAATGCATGAAAGAAATACTTGAGTTTTAAGTTACTGTAATGCTTTTAAAAGAGGGAAAAAGGTTTAAATTGAACTGCTCATGTAAAACATCTGAAAAGCATCGCAAATGCGACCTCTCACTTTACGTCATCCACTGTTTTCTTCTTTAGTTGGTGGGACATGAAAGTCTGGGCAAAGATAGTCTAGGTCACCAACTTTAGATAGTGCTTCAAATACCTTGCAGGGAATGGTGGTCAGGTGATGCATTCCTTCAAAGTAGGAAAAGTCAAATAATTTTTTTTTCTTCTACATAGGATGTTCTATTCTGCGTTGAGACTGGCTACGAATTCATGAAATATACCCAGTTAAGACAGGCAAGTTCAGTCAATTTAAACTGGTATTTTAAAGCACAACCCTCTGGCTGGGACCTCAATGCTCTATTTCTTGAGTTACCAGGCTGCAATTTAAACCCATTATGTTTCACACTTCTATCAAAAAGATTGTCAGAGCAAATTATTCAGGAATTCAATATTCATTTTTGAATGAGACACAGGGAATACTTTAAATTAATCTTTAAATTATGCAGATTGCCTAAGATAAGAAAAAAATGAAAAAGTAATGATACTGAAAAGATATTCATACTAACATACGGAAATTGTTTTAAAAAATCAAAGTTCCCCTTTGTTGAAAGAAACTCTCTCTTCTATTTGCATCATTGTGAACTATGAAAGACATTTTGCTGCTCATTTGTCCATTACAGTAACTATCTGGAACAACCAAAAGCTAGACAGTTTAAATAGTAATGTATTCTGACAATGTCAAGCAAAAAGCACAGATACAAGAATGTGAGTAGCAGAGACTGCGATAATGGTTTGTCTTAGTCAACTGTTTCTTTCTTCTTGTAGAAGACAGCAATGACAAGCTGCTTAAAGAGCGGAACACTAAACCATAACTCAGAGTCTCAATCCCAGTCTGACTAATATCACACTATCTGAATTTTTTTTAAGAGGACAAGTTTGGACGATCCTAAACAAGTCACTTGTGGGAGGGAGAAAGAACTCAATTGTGCATGGCCAGGTGGTGGGGTTCCCCTTCTAAACTGCTTGGATATTCCTCACATTTCATAACTAAATGACACATGGAGCAATTAATGGGCTGCACTTTTTTCCTCCTACAAAAAAACCCCAAACCACAGAAAGTAAATAGAGCAAATGAAAAGATATGGTCTGCAGTCTCCACAGATCCAATATTAATTCTGCTTTTCGATTTGACTTAACAGGTCAGCTGAGTTGAGAAATGGGTTGACTCAGGCACACCTTCCCTTTATTGACAGATAAAATGCACAGCACATTAGCTTGACTAATAAATAAGCTCCATCTAGGAATTATCTTTAATTGAATCTAGTAGATTCATAACGTCTTAAATCCAGAGTTAATCGATCACGCAAATGTTAGTTGGACAAGCAGCAGTAAGTTCATCAGTGCCTTGCAACGCTCATCTGCACGGTTTTAGCTCTTACAGCAGGACCCTTTCTGGGGTCTCCAAGCTTTGGTTCTTGCCATCCTATACCTAAATTCTCTGGGATTAGGCAAACAGAGAGCATCACTCTGAGGAGAGAATGCGCCCTCTGTACCAAAGAAACTGAAACCATGCATTTGTGGGGCTCTCGGTAGTTTGGTTTCGAGACTCAATCATTGTGATGATTATTCACAGGTTTGAAATACCCAGCTAACCAAAAACAAACTACATAAATAGGATTACTGCTATCCAGAATGGACACTGAAATCTATCTGAACAGGCATTGCTATTGCTTGCATTGAATCAAAAAAACTAGATGACTGACCACATTGTTAAGGCCTATCCATCACTGTATTATCAATGTTGTCCAGTGTGTTTATAATGCAAACAAGCTAAGATTGGTTATTGTGGCATTAACCAGAGCAACCTTTACCCAACTCACTCCACCTACCAGTGCAAATAAAGAAATTCCTGAAGCAAATGCCTCATTTCCTTCTGTGTAATTAGCACCCTATGCAGTTTTTATATTGCACTCCATTCAGTAGAGTGACAAAATTGTGTTCTTCTGCAAAATTTGAATATTAATTATAACAAAGTAGATACATAAATTTGCAGAACCTCAGGAGATTCTTAATTTGGAGATTATCTCATTTAAATCTAGCTATGCTTAAAACAAATGCTGCAGAAAATGTAATCAAATCTGACTTAAGGGTATCCCAGAATTAAAATCATTCGGCATATTCTGACAGACCTAAAAATATGCATTTGGTAACTTACATTTACCACTGTTGCAAATGAGCCTGGCTTTTAGCATTTTAGGTCTGAAGGGTGGAGAGTTTTCACCAAAACAAAAGTCCACCATTGACCAGGTTCTGATGGCCAGAATTGCTTGAAGTGATTCAACATCAGTTCTGAATGAGAAGCATAATTTATATTTCTTGTTCCAAATTGCTCTGATTGAGGATTGAGGAGAGCTCAGTACATGTGCAACTAAGCAGAGCTGCTAATCCTTTTAATTTTTAATAACATTAAAAACAGAAAGGTATCAGATCTTCCCAACCCTGAAAGATAATTAGATTAAACCAGTATTAAATCCAATACTGTATTGTAATTCATGCACTGTATTTAATTCTGACCAATTTGTTAAACATTTTATGTCTTACCTAATACTTCTGCAGTAGCCATAATTTCACACGTGTACATCGCTGCCATTAGTCGTTGAGGCTTTGCCTGGAAAGCAAAACGGCAAGCTTCTTTCATTGTGGCAATGAGTTGACCAGAAAAAGGACCGTAGCAATCTGCAACCACCGCCTGAGAGTTACATATAGCATGTGTTGCAGTCTCAGCTGGAGTTTGATCTCCCTGAGTCCGTTCATCTCTAATTTCCAATGTAGGTTTCAATTCAGAAAGAATATTTTCTTTTGTGGTTTTATCTTGTTTTGGCTGTGGAGTCTCCTCTATTGTGTCTAACTGTGTGGAAAACTGGCTATTTGTGTAAACAAGTTGTTGTAGTTTACTCATGTCCCACTTTTCCAATATGAAACAGACACCCATGAGAGGTTCTTCGCACACAGGACCTGAAAGAGTAGCTAATTGAAATCCACTGATAATACTTTTGTCAAAATCTTTGTATATTCCTGCATCCTCAGTAGTTGTGTCAAGACACTGCCATAAAGATGGTCTGTGGTAGGTTTCTAATCTATTTAATAAAATATTTGGACCACAACGGCGTGGTCCAAAGGACCAAATTTGGTTCACAGTATTTCTCCATTTCCTCCCTACAAAATTCTCCTTCAGCTTTTGCTTAAATTCTCTTATAGCGTCAAGAGTTTTCCCATTAATTTCCAGGGCCTGTTTTCCTTCCTTCACCGACAAGTTGAAAAGCTCTATTGTACGAATCAAGTCACTACTTTTTTCAAGAAGCTGTGTCACTTCCTCAGGAAGTGGCATGGCTCTCACACTGAGAGTGGACAATTTATTGGGTGTATTAATGGTCACAAGTCCGTCAGAATCCACGTGGACACCTTCAGGATATTTATTCTGCTCCTCTTTCTTCTGATGTATAACAGCAACCTTTTGCTGAGTTCCCATATTTTCGTTTACCATATCCACCTTTGGTGGCCGAACGATTATTTCTCTGAATGGAACAATTGGTTCGGACACACTGATTTCAATCTTTGCAAATCTGCAACAAGGAAGACATTTTTGCAATTGGTAATATTTCTTCATGTAAACATTTTGCTAATGAATTTATTCTAGATTCATACTAAAACCAACACGTGAGATAATCACTTCAGTGGCAAAAACCAAAACTATCAGAAAAGTTGAAGCAGCCAGTCGGATTAATGAAAAGCACCAAATATGCTGAGATCACATCCCAATCAGCAGATACACAGCAGTCACACAAGAGAGTTCTTGCTGTCAGAATTCCTTGGGAGAGTATTCTGCTAGAGACCAGTAGTCATAAGAGTGGTAAGATAAGAACACAGACACAGTTTAAGAGTTAAGATTGAAGATGAGAAAATGTCTGTTATTAGCTGAATTACTGGTAATTGATGTATCAGTATATAGGTTCATATAGCAGAGGAACAGCAGTAGGTTTGCTTCAGAAGTGAAATAATGAAGGTGAAGGAGAATAGTGAAACCATGGCAAAAGCAGCTGACAATATAATTGTTTCTCACTATCTTAATACAAGTATCTAGCTTTGAACTTTTCAGTAACAATTGATGTACTGAGTGTCAAACTGTTCAAATTTACATGAGCATTTGGTACACAACACAGAGCTGCTTTAAGATACAGAAACATCATTTTGAACAAGCAGCTGGTCACAATCACTGGCAACTGATCAGGCTCGAAGGAAACTAAAATGCTTTATATATAAACACAAAATAATCTGATGATTTATCTCAGATTAGCTACTCAATTTACATAACATGAATGCCTGACTGTTACTTCACAAGGGACCCGCATCCTCAAAAATTTATATATGTATATCAATGCTTAAAATTGTGCCTATCTCAGAAACAATAACTGCCTATATTGGAGCAGAAAGGAGATAAAACTAGTGACAAATAGTGACAAAATATTTACTTACATTACTTCAGAGTAAAAACTTTTTATATTCAATTTGGAATTCTTCCTGTTGGAAGCTTGTATAGAAACAAGATACATATGCACGTCCCACTGAAATAACGACACATGAAAATGTGTAAATAGATACTAAATAAAGTAAAATATGATCTGTTGGCTAGCTGCGATGCAAAGCTGGCTGGAACTCCATGGAAATTCCAGGATTCAAGGGAACAAAAAAAATCATGTTTCTGCTCCTATCCTCCAAAACATCAGGTCAGCCACTGCATGTCAAGTTTAATTTTTTTCTGTTTAAAATATCCTTCTCCCCCCAAAATAAACCCAGTAACCAAGAAGTATATTCCCATACACAAGGAGAGCACCATTTTGGAGCAAAAATGTATAATATCGGGTTTTGTGATGATCACCAAAAAGGAGCACTGGAACCATTGTTTCCCTTGTTTGTGGTATTCAAACCTTTCTCTGAGATCATCCAAACAACGCTGGAGGTGCACCTCCCCAGCCGTGACTAGCACATGCTCTCCAGTCTCCTGAACTAGAACCTCCACACACGGGTCAGCCTGATTAAGCAGCCTCATTCCTCTCACCAACTGCAGCATTTCACCTGCATAAGCAAAGAAAACAAGTGAAAATCAAATGTTGTCAAATATTGTGAGATAGGGGATAGGTGTGCTATTCAGAACGAGCAGGCAAATGACTCATAACATTGGTCTTTGTCCACATGTCTCTCATTAAACAGTATGCCCTCGCCCATTGCCAAATGCAGAAAATCAATTTTTCTTAGATTAAGTTTCTCATTTTCTAGATCTCATGGCTTAGGTAGGTAATCCAACTGGAATATTGTAGTGATTGTTGACCATTGAAACATATTTAACGCAATACACCAAATGACCTTCTCTGTTAATTTCCTACGACAGCAATTGTCACATTGAGTTTCTTACTCAGTTATCCCTCCATGAAAATATCTGGAACTAAAATAATCCTATTATTCACAAAACACTACTCATACTAAAAATTATACTACTTTTCTTTTCTTCTTTTTGTGTCTGTCATTTCCTTTCCTATCCTTCCTTTCTGTGTCTTGTTTGCATTTTCTTTCTGGTGCCTTTTTACTTGTGCCTTCTGGATCTTTCATCTCGTCTTTCTTCTATGCCTATTGCCTTGCATCTTTCATCTTCTTATCTTCTTTTTCACTCACTTCTTTTACTCTTCTTGGCACACATATAAATGGTAAAATTCCATTGAAAGTTTCACTCCTATCCTGAAGCATTGCACAAACCAAGACTCTAAACAGTGGTGTGGCAGTGTAAGAGGTTAAGATCGTCTTGTTGAAGTGCAATCTCCATGTACAAAAACAATACATCGCCATTGATCATGCGAAAAGCGCTTCAGGCTATTGTCCTATGAATAATGCTGTGTCAATGTAGGCTTTTTAAAAAAAAACAGATGGCAGCTTCCTTCAACTATACATAAGGCTCGTTCTGAATCACACTAATCATCCTAAAACTATAAAAGACAGCCAAGAAATGCGAACAGTGATGTATATGTTGTATCTGATTAAAATAACTTCTGTGTGCAGCAGTGTACATAAGGCCATTTGAAAATCATCCACTGAACACACTACACCACACACAAGTTTCACAAGTGCCAGCTCTCCTGCTTGGAGGAATAAGAAAGGATGGCAAGCAAAAACACACTCACAATTCTGCAAATGTTCTTTCTAAAATAAAAATATTGATTAAATTACCTTAGTATGTATATAGTTAATGGCACCACTTACTTGGATGTTTGGGTTCCACAGCCACCCGTACAATCGGAGTGGCTTCAAAGTTCAAAGGTGTAAAAGGAGGGCAAGCGGGGGACGTTGAGAGTGTGGCAGATTTTAAGACATAATCTTGCAGGCCTCCAATTCCTATTAAAAAATTCAGATGAGAATTGTCTGTTATTGCGAAAGAAATGAATCAAGTCAGTATTTTAGGCAAATTGAATATTTCAATTAATGTGCTGATACACAGTTCTATTTGTCCTACTCTGATTGACATTTCTTCAATAGAGAATGCAAATTTAAATTGGTCAGACAGTAGGGATACTGCCACTGAATACATTATATGATTTCACCTCTAACGCCGAAAATGAAGAGAAGTACCAACCAAGAGAAAGAACCCTACATCATTATAATTTTAATGTTTCATATTTTTGAAGTTGAAACATAATTTATTCACTTCAGTACTGCAAATGGATCTTTTTCTGGAAAAGCTCAAAAAATATCAATTACCGATCAGCCTATCTGAACTCATGTAAAAAATGGTAGCGAAATATCACTTCTCAAAACTGCTAACCAAGAAAGCATCATTTTATGCAATGTTTTCTGTATATTTTTACAGATACAAAATACATTCTTTTTAGCATTATTCACCAGAAAATGTCTAGCAGTAAATCGCAAAATTCACATTTCTGGGTAAAAGTATTGTCAGCAATTTTGACATTTGACCTTGGAGCTTATTAATATAAAGATCTCCTCAAATGTATTTCTCAGCAGGCTATCATATTACCAACATGAATGTACTCTGCTCTTTCCCTACCACATATTCATATTTTGCAAAAATAATTGAATAGAGTTGTGCTTGGATGTAGAGTTGTGTAATTACAGTATTTTTTTGTTCTTTAATTAGTGTTTAATAACCTAATCATACTGACCATGTTTAATATGGTACCTCAAATTCTTATAACTCCAGTAAACATTCTTTAGAAAAATCACATTAGCAAAAGTTAATATTCTTCTCTTACTTGTTCACACTGAGCAACTAAGAGCTTCAACTCCAGTTGTTAATATAGTAATTAGTTAGTTAGTTAAATGAATTAAGCATTTATTTACAAAGCTGATGATCGTGAAGTCAGAAAATAAAGCATCTTGTTCTAGCCAGTAATTTTAACCATCAGAGTGCATCTACATCACTTCATCCAAAATTATTTCTTACACACTGATTAAAATTTCAAGATCTAGACTTGCACAAAGCATAGACTATCTTAGGTGGCTTTGCTCATCAAAAAAAATTGAATAAATTGAAGGAGATGGCACAAAAGAAAACTTCTTACTTTATAAGGTGGGAAGAGGAGAAAACTGAAACAAAAGACCAATAACAAAAACTCAAAATTGCTGCAGAGCACTTTCTTGACGTTGGTTTCAAAGTAAGCTTTGGCAGGAATTGACCCTACCCAAATTCTGCCTGCCAGGTGACACGACAGAACTCCTTCAATTCCAAGCAAACATAGTGAAAATCCAAGACAAGAAAAAGCAAACTACTAAAAGTATAAAATGGAACAAGACAAAGCATTTCATTCAAATATCGAAGTGAAAAAGAAATCTTGAACAACAATAATCCACTGGATTTTCATCTCTTTAAATTTATGGTAAGATTTGAAAGATCACAAGTTAACTAAGAGAGTTATATACTTGACAAATACATGAAATGAGTGGGACAAACATCAAAAAACAATAATATGATCGTTTAAGTACCACCTTCATTAGAAATTATCAAGTCATAGTTATTCTGTATTGATACAGGTTAGTTTTAATGCCACATGGGCTATGTAATGAAGTCCTGCAGTCATACTGGTTCAGTGAATATGAACATAAAGAGGTTACAAATTAAATTTACTGACAGAGAATATAGTACCACCAATCATCCAAACACATCAGATACACTATCAGGAAAGTAATTGTGTTCAGCACTTTGATACACTACCACCCGTGAAGAGTGCTATAAAATACAAGTTCTTGTGATTGTATTGAACAAAATAAACAGATTCAACAGGTATTCCTCCATCTTAAGGACTATTCTCATTATTTATTGTTATCCTAAGTTGGGAGCTACGAATGCTCAGCACATCATTCAGGGTTTCACCTTATTGACTTATGGATCCAATACAGTTCTTATCTTAATTATCATCAAGGTTAAGGCTGCTTATATAAAAATACTAAAAGGAATGGTCCAACATAATAAAAGTACCCAATCAAAATACCATTGTACTGTGTAAATAGTGGAAAATATGTAAACTCCCGTAGCTTGTAAAATGGTGATTATTTTGTAAGCAGCAAGACACACATGTTGCTTCTCCTATAGCTCAGTGAGTAAAGATATAGCCTAGTATATAACAACAACAAGATTGCATTTATAGAGCGCCTTTCACGTCGGGAGGACGTCCCAAGGCACTGGACAGTTGGGTCGGGACCCGAGCAGGGGGTCGGGAAGCTCCACACTTGATCCCTGGTCTATGCTGAGTTAGCTAATCTCATCTGTGTTGGTGGGGCTGCTTTAATTGTCCTAAGTATCCCTAGGCTTAGAAGGGAGCAACAATAAGCAAGATTCCATCAGTCCTAAAACCTTCCCTTCTGAGAGGACATTGGATTAGGGACAAATTTAGGCTTGGATAGTTGCTTTCATCGTCAGATATTATTACTATATATCAGATACTATTTATATATATATATCTCAGATACTATTAATCTTAGTTTTTGTTTCCAAATGAAGAATGACCATTTGGGAGAAGAGCTCATCCCCATCTAGCTCTTCAGGTGGACATTAAGGATCCCATGACACTGTAAATCCTGTGAAGCGTTTTGAGGCATCATCCCCACGTGAAAGCTTTACTAAATGTAAATGCAAAGAGTATTATACACTAGTGTATTGGAGAGAACACTTGAGGCTTATAAGATGCAGAATTATAAGATTCATAACAAAGTCCATAAAGTGATATAATATACAGAATCCATTTTTATTTTTAGGTTCTATACTAATGATGATACAGGTTAGGAACTATTGATGAAACCACTAAAGAACTTAGGGTTTTGTACCAATTATATAAAGTGCATTTTTCCTCTTTGTGTGTTTGACAGCTGTTTTCCCTCTCAGTTGCAGGTCTTGTTAATTTCTCTGTTGTTGGCCCCAGAAACTGCTTAACACAATAAATAGCTTGTGGTTAGTTGTTCTATGGATAAAATAGTTTATATTTTTATGTAGTATTTCTAGAAAATTCAAAGAGCATTGCAACAGTCTACAACCGTATTAAATGTTGCATTGAAAGCATTGTTTATGTACCATATTGGGAGTAGATTTTACTGCAATATTTCTGGGTTGGTTCCCTACATGTGTGAATGTTGTAAGTCTGCCTGCTGCCTAAGGAAGCCCTGCAGAAAGAAGCTGTTAGTGTAACTAACACTGAAGCTTGCAACTATTGAACAATGAAGACATTGCTTAATCAATTAACTGTATGCCCTTCCTTGTTCACACCTATAGAGCTGTGACCTTTAATTGGAAAACCTGATACAATATATTTCAGAATTTAAAAGCCGCAACTCACAGATAAATCACGTTTCTTGTAACCTCACATTCTTGCCAGATTTATTTGCCAATATCACAGCCCTGGGTTCACAGCTCCAATGTCAATAAGTGGACATAATAGTCAGCATGCATATTGGAAGTGTTTGACTACAATTTCGCTTACCAATGGTAAGAGATGGTCAGCTAGCCCTCTAAGATTGTTAAAATGTTATACATAATCCAGGAATGTAGCTTCAACCAGTCCTCATTATATTAAGGTGATTTTCTTGTAAAAAATAAACATATTGAAACACTACAAATTTGAATTGATTAGAAATGAAGTGATGTAGAAAAACATGACAGCTCATCGGCATCAGCAAAGTTCAATAATTTTTATTGCATGGAACTTCACTAAAGGACATGCACATGCACCATTTGCCTTCAGACTATTGGCATTTAGCTTTGGTTTGAAAGAACATGCAAATGAATTCCATTTTAGCTTGGAAGCACATGTTGTGCTGGAATTGACAGAAACTCTAAAGGCCCAATTGCTTTTTTTCACCTTGAAATAAAACTGCCTTTTATGTTATGGGCTTGTTGGGAGTTAGGTAGAAGAATTTTTCCACGACTCAACCACGAGTCCTTGATCAAAAGCAGCCTTACAGAATTGTAATTACATTATGGAAAATCTGAACCATCACACTATCAGTCAACACTGTCAGTCTTTGCTTTATAAATAACCAATTCCACAAAAAGTGGATTACTTATCAAAGTTATTCTTTGAAAGTATATATCGCTGGAGGTAAGAAGTAATGGTAAGGAATCAGAGAAAGTACATTCCACTCTTTAAGAGCATGCTGAATCATTCGTCTATCTACTTGTGTCAATGTGCCACATTGCACGTTACGCTGAATTTCAGTACTTATTTTAAAGCAATGGAAAGATAATTATAGCTTTTTTTGCCATTTAAAGTCGAGGCATTCTACAGATATGTTTACTTGTGCAGGAATGTCAATCACTGTACTTGTTAGGCAGGAGTCCTTTCTGTTTTGATTTATTAAAAAATTCATAACCTGATGTAGTCAAATATATTTATTTAAGCTTGCTCCCATCTCAAATATGTACAATGGGGGCCAGGAGGAAGGAACAGGATAAGAAAAGAGTCTCTTATTGTAAGTTTGTGCCATGCTGTCATGACCATCAATCTCTTGCATCATTATACTCCTAGATCATATTTCACCTTTTGCTTTCTTTGTGTAGTCCTCAGTGCCTACATTTACCTGTTCATCAATAAAGCAATTCATTTCAGCATGCTCTACATTCAGTTTGCCAAGCTACCTCCTTTGCTTTTAACACTCAAATTAATTCATCCCCTAATCACATTCCTTTCATTTACTTCAGTTTCTTTCACCTACGAATACATTCACTACAATTGACAGAAAATCCTGTGAAGCGCTTTGAGACATTTCAACATGAGAAGGCGCTAAATAAATTGCAAGGATTATTATATTATTAGGCAATATTTCTTGGACTCGCCCTCATCCACATAGGAATTTACTTAAGCGTACCCGTTGAGGCTCTCTGCAACTCA